TTGAGTGCTCGTCAGGATCAACTTTGGAAGATATTGTAGTCGTGCTTAAACTTTCTTTTGTTACTTTTTAAGAATTCGCCACTGTAAATTTGTCCTATCAATAAATGTATATATGTTTAGACTGTCACATCTCAGGAATATCAGTATTGTAAATTCTTGGGTTGTGACATGAAGTCACTAGAATTGGCCCAGTCCAGTGGTACGAAGGGGCAATCCGGCGAGTACGTCAATGGAGGGTGCAATCAGGTGTTTGTAAGACTCGGTCCGGCGTTTCTTTTTATTGGGATTCAAAAATGATTTATTATGCAGGGGAAGGATATTTTCACAAAAAAAAATAGACTTTTTGTGTTGGGGGGTTATTTGCTAGGAAAGATATTTTTGGGGAAAATATTGTTAGAAAACGTTCGGTGGGGGTAAAGTGCTTAGGAAGTCTATTTTGGGGGTTTTGTGCAATTTTCCCAAGAAAAAATTTGAATGAAGTTTTTATAAAGCCTAGGCTTTAGGAAAACCCAATAATGCCTCACTTCAAATCATCATCCAAAAAATACTTTCAGCAATTGGAGTTTGGCTCTAAAATTACTTTTCAACACCGACAATAAAATTTGGACCTAAAAATATATATAAATCTTGCGAATCTATGAACACCTATTTTTTGAGTGAAATGGATGGCCTAGATAACTTGTTACAATATACGCTATTTTTATAATTTGAAATTCTAATTTTTCTTCACAACCATAATATTCAAGTCGAGATGATTAATTTAAAAGTTTTTCAATGCTTGAATGGCAATTTTCAATGAGTTGTGAGGTGAGGCATTACTTATTTTAATAGAGATACAGCTCTATCAATCCATTTTCCAAAAAATTATCAGAGATTTAAAGGGTGAGGTTTGTATAAGGTGTCTACCTTATATAATACAAATAAGGTCCATATTTAAATTTTGCTAGAAGACATAGTTCCAGTATCAAAAACCTTAAGATGGCTTAAAAATTCCATATTTAGCACAATTATAAAATTTAAAATTTTATTAACAGTGCATATCGAGCAGATCGATAAACACTTCAAAATGTTGAGAATGAACAGTTCAGATAACTTATAATGCGATTAACTATTTTTAGGACTTGAATTTCTTTTTTTTTCTTTATACCATATATATCGATATTGAGATGATCAATTGGAAAGTTTCCAACTTCATACATTCGTTTCTATTTGATTTCTCAATGCACCTTATTTCTACAATATAAGTTTGCAACCTATATGAAATTTTTCTATTTTAAAGTGTAAAAATTAAAAAATACTCGTAGTTTTAAAATTTATTTAATTTTTTTTCCACTCATGATCTCTTTTTTTTAGATTATGAGCCAACTTTAGAGGGGGCATGTAAATGAATATATGAGTTGATGGACTCCTAGAAAACCCACTGAAGAATAAATGAATAGTTATGATTTTTTTATTTTTTATTTACAAATTATATTAAGTTGGAATTTTAGATGTTTATATTTCTCACTTAGGCTCAACTAAAAAAATTAAAAATGAATTAAAAAAATATACTAGTTTTGTCCAGCTTTGAGACTATTACATCGGAGCAAAATAATTATAAGTTGTGCAACACGCGAACCACAGTTTACAGTTGGCGTGATTTTGGGTGGTGGTGTGTCAAATGACCAACGACATTATTGGCAGCGCTGACACCACTACCGGTGTTCGCACGTTCAAATCTGTCCAAAAAGCTGGTGTCCCCATATCAACATCACCAACACCATCATTGAAGGAGTTCCGACCAGACCAATATCTAACTATGGGCAATGATTCCAACACAATTGTCACTGATGCCATTGTTTGATTATGCTAACAATAGCGTTGATGCAATGATGATTACTTTCCATTCTAATTTGGGCATTCCAATATCAGACAATTGGTGACAATTTGAGCCCATCAGAGTCGATGCTACTGGTACTAGCGTCAACGCTACTAACTCAATCATTGGGCTGGGGTTACTAGCGTCAATGCTACTAAACCCATCGGGTGGTAGTGTTGAATTCATGTTCGCTCTGTTTTACCCATCGGGTGGTAGTGTTGCATTCATGTTCGCTCTGTTTTGATTTCGAATGGCAATCATCCGGTCCTTCTCTTGCCTTGGGCCATTTTGATCCTCTAAGGGGCCTTTCAGAGGTTTCGGGCTTATGGCCGAATCCTCATGACGGACCATTCAAGGTGCCCTAAGTGTTAGGGTGATGGCTTCAAGGATTCTAGGTGGTTCCAACGTTTATGGTGGTTGGCCCGGGGGTATTTCAGTTTTCTTACAGTTCATGCAATCAGGATCAAGGTGTCTATAAATCTTTTTTTTTTTTTCAACATCCATACATCCCAAGGTCGAGATAATCAATTAGAGGATTTTTTGGTGCCAATATGGTCTTTTCCATGTAGCATTTTTGGGGCAATATTTTTCTATAGTACAACAAGGTTGGCACCTTATATAAACTTTTTCCATAATGCCAAAGTAATAAACTCATGTCAAATGAATCTACATCAGTTTATACAACTAAAGGTAATCTTGGCTAAAGATGTGGCTCTGGCGCTGAAAAAACTCATAGGCTTAAAATTCAAATTTCATACCCTATTTATGAAATTTAATCTTTGAAAATCATACAAATCATATAAATCTATATATACTTAAAAATATTGAAAATGAACAATCTAGATAATGTGTTACACTGTTTTTAGGACTTCAATTTTTTTTTTTTTGCTTTCATATTTATAAATCTCAAAATTGACATGATCAATTGAGGGTTTTTCAGCATCAAAACAACATTCTCCAATGGGGAGCACATTGCTACTACATTATAAAATTGACGCCTCATATAAACTTTTCTAATTTATAATTACCGTATATAGAAATGTTATCTTCCCCTTATATAATGCAGGTTCGATGTTACTTCTCCTTTCATCGAAGAATTTTTAATTTTATCCCCAATACAGGTCTTGTAATTGCCCCCCTGCTAAAAGATATAATAAAATGAATCATTCTTGGCGATATTTGTAAGAAAGTGTACGACAAATACAATTTAACATACTTCTATAGTTCGATATCGTTCTAACAAATACAATCTGAACTCCATATATAGAGTCTGATAACACTGTTAATAAACAGAACATGAACTCAACATACAAAGCACAATAACACAGATTGATAGATCATACACACAAACACGCACATAGATCAAGCTTAAAGTGGGTTTGAGGTAGTATGTTTCCGCTCTGTAGACTTGGTTGCAAGTTCAAATCCCACTCTTGCCAAATTGAAAAACTCTAATGAATTTTCGTTCAAAAAACCACACACAGAGATCAAGTGGCTGCTCAGTTAACCAAAGATCAGTCAAAGGCTTGGTTCTCATTCCAATAAGCCTCTGTTCTTACCCCATCCAATAGCCATGAGATAGAGAACCACACAAGCTCCAAATATACCGAAGGTGGCTTGCAAGAACTGTGGCACCCCAGTTTCAAAGAGGGGGACGTGAATATTAATACTAAGCATGCCAACAGCAACAATGGCACCGGTGACTATCAATGTCGCAGTCATAAGCATCACTGCCATTTGAAGCAGTTGGTTCTGTTTGTCATCCAGTATTATCTTGATGTAGTCTTCCATATCGTCCACGTATTCTTTCAACTTCAGAAAAGGCAACAATCAACAAACAAAAAATTTAAAATAGAAAAGAAAAAGAAAAAAATACAAAATTATGCCGATCAGTTGACTAATAGATACAAACATAAAAAAATGGTGAAGCAAATTGTACAATGCACATGTACAGTATATTTCACTGAAACTTTTCCGGAAACAAAATACAACCATAGCAGATGTAAAATTCTGCTCCCAGCTTGTACTTGCATAACAAAAAAAGGTATCTGAAACATAATAGCACAATGCGGCGGAATATGGTTTGAATCAGTAAAAGAAGAAAAGTTGATTCGATCAAACAAAAGGCAATGGTATAATTTGATATATATATAACAAAAAGACATATATGAAGAGTATAATTAACAAAAAGACATATATATAACAAAAAACATACAGTTGAGATTTTGTTTAAGGTTCCCTCTATCTGCACAAAGTATGCTTCTAAAAGCATCTCCAAATCTCCTATGTCGAGCTTAAAACCGCTTGAGCTTTCACCACCACTGATGTCCTTACCATTACGGCTAATATAGCAAGCCCCATCCCTAATCACAAGAAGCAAACAAGAGAGTATCCATCAGTGTAAATTATTTTTAATAATTAGGGCAAAATATATTATAATATCATTTTTTAAAGGTAATCATTGTTGAAAACTTTGCAAGAAAACAAACAATATGCTTAGGAATACGAAACAAGGAATGAAACTTTAACAGTTTACAGAGAAGTACACAGAAGCAATTACACGCCAATTACGAGCCGAACCTTGATATTGCTTAAATAGTAAATGGAAAAGGTACCATCGATGTAAACTGAAAAAAATTCTTCCTTCTCCATTACATCACCAAAAATGAGGATGGAAAATCATTTTGGCTTGTCATTCCACAACCAGGGAACCTCCCTCCAAAATTAATAATTGGCAGTTACTTTTGGTGACTTCATAAAGTCCATAACATTAGTGCAAAGCCTTAGTTTCCATAGAAATTCTTTTTAAAAAAATACATTCCCCCATCAGATCACAAGGTCTAACTCTGTACCCAATGAACACCCACTTTAAAATTAGAATAAAAAAAAATACATTCTCTCACAAGAGAAAATTGTACACTTCCTACCTTGTGCCAAACCTTGGTACGAGTATTTTTGTCGGATATCCACTTACCGTGTTTCAGGATGTAACTCTCTCTCTCTCT